GAATGACAAACGAACTCAGTGAAGGACCAGGTTCATCTAAGGAGACACAGTTGTTATGGCCCATACACATGAGATGCACGTGAAGAAGATAAGTCCTTGAGATCAAGCAGCAATATCTTGATGAATATCTTCTGAACTGATCGAAAAGATTGCATATAGGATAAGGAGTTGAAGTCTCCTTATGAAAAGAGAATTACATCCGGATCAAGAATATGGATTAGGAGTTAGAGTTGTTCTTGGACTCGAATTGTCAAAGGATCCACAATTCGAGTTCTTATCAAACTCTGATTACTAACTCTATAAATATAACGAGTGTTCTCTTTTACAGGTGATTGCACATAAGAAGAAGTTAAGCATATTTGAGAGCAAACAGATCAAGTCTGATTTGCAAGCAACATATGCGAGATACAAGTGTGCACGTCAGAAGCTACATGAACTAAGATAGAAGAACCAGTTTCATCATTGTGTTTATTCTAAGTCTAGTTCAATTGTAGTAGGTTTTCATATTGTACCTTTCAGCTTTCTTAGAAGCAATTGTATTAGGTACTCTGAGTATTCAAGTTAGAGTTAACTTGAAAGTGTCGCAACAGTTGAGGCTGTGTGCTACACTGGGATTAGAGTTAATCCTTAGGTTTACAAAGAGTTTTGTAAATGCAGTTTTTGGCTCAGTGATTTTAGTGGAGTTTGGGAAAATCCTACTGAGTAGTAGGTCGTGGTTTTTTCACCTTTTGAGCCAGGTGTTTTCCACGTAAAAATCTCTGTGCACTTTACTTTCAGTATTTATTATTCCGCAAACTGCTGTAGTTAGAACACTTAGAAGAACCAGGTTCTTCTAATGCGAAAATTAGGTACCACACAAATCACCCCCCCTCTTGTGTGGTATTGACGTTTATAACATCAGTTCTTGTTAGACATTCTAGAGTTAGAGCTATGTAGTACTTCCTAGCTTGTGATTCATGGGTTTCCGGGTCTTGGATTTATGTATTGGTTTTGAGAGTTAAATATGGCGTATGTCGAGCGGCACATTTATACACTGGTTATTTCTTATTTCTGTTTTAAATTGTTTTACTTCCGCAAATTCTTGGTTTCTTTTCCGCGATTAGGCTTACCTAGTCGTAGAGACTAGGTGCCGTCATGATGGTTCACGGAGGGCGAACCGGGGTCGTGACAATTACATTGTTCGATATACACTTTTTATTCACAAGATCCAAAGATTCCTTGTCCATCTTCATTCTCTATTCCCCCACGTTGTTGTCGGTAAGGAGAATCATCCAAGTCATCTAACATTTGGGTGATAAATTCCTTCTTATTACATTCATTGCCATTATCTACATTTATTACATGCTTTTAATACTATATTTATTGACAATCATTGAGCATTTGTAGTTGGTATACAACATTTTCGGATTTGGCCCTACATCATCAGTAGATCTAAACGTTAGATCTAGTGGTTATTATATTTAACTAGGATTCACCCTCTATTTTCTCATCAATTCGTTTTAAGAAAAGGTTTAGCACTTTTTTGATAAAATAATTTGGCGCTATCTGTGGGGAGATTCTAGTTAAAATTTTAGTTTCTTCTAGATTAAAAAAAAAACAACAGCCATCTTTTTCTCGTTTGCACAAACTAACAATAGCAGGAAAAGGAGATGAAGACAGAAAGCAATACTGGGCGTTACTACTAACCTCCTGAACACCATTAACGAGGTTGACAAAGAAGACGGGGAGAATGTGACGCCGAGTGCTACACCCAGGCGGAGTGCCTCACCTCCCCCTCATGGAAGTGTAACCACTTCACGTGAAAGGGAGCCTCCATGTCTACAACTGAGGAAGCGCCACCAGCAGTAAAAAAGCTATTGGAGGTGTGGTTGACAAGTACTCTAAACAACATACTTGACATACCTGTTCAAAGGGGGAATGGAAGCGCCACACAAGCGGATACCATAACAACCACCACCGAGCAACCTACTCTCGCTCCTCTCCCAACAGGTAACACTCACACTGCTGTTGATGCAGGTAACGACGCACTTGCGGCCATTCTAAAGAAAATGGAAGAAATGGAGAACGAGAATAAAGCGCTCCGCGACCAAATGAGGGAGCATCAAGAAAGGGTTGATAAGATACCTGGCGCCCCAAAGCTGCTACCAAAATGGGACGTCGGCCGATTCGTCGAACAACCATATAGCAAGGAGGCATCCCCACATGCCATACCCAAGACTTTCAAAATGCCACCATATTTGAAGATATACGACGGCACAATAGACCCCGAAGATCACATCACTCATTACGTCACAGCAGTAAAAGCTAACGACCTCTCAAAATAGCAGGTACCATTAGTGTTGTTGAAGAAGTTCGACGAAACCCTAACGGGGGGAGCCTTAACATAGTACACACAATTACTAACATGTTCGATTACAACGTTCGAGGAAATGGCTGACAAGTTCGTCACCGCCCACGTCGGGGCCAAAAAGGCGGAGGCCAAGGTGAATGATATATTCGCCGTCAGACAATCGCCTAGCGAGGAATTCAGGGACTTCCGCACCCGGTTCAACAGAGTAAGGATGAGCTTGCCAAACATATCAGAAGGGATGGCAGTGGCAGCTTTCCAAAATGGATTGAACAGGAATGGGACGAGGGCGACCAGAAAACTGTTAAGCAGACTCATGAAATACCCTCCCACCACTTAGGAAGAAATTCACAATGCCTATTGCGCCGAGTTGAGAGGAGACGAGGACGGCCTCAATGGTCCAACCCAACGGCTAACGTCAGTCCAAACGGAGTCGAGGAAAGATCGTCATAATGACGGCCGACGAGACCATCCAGGTCCATGCCTCAACCGGGACATGCACCAACCATACGTCAGAACGGCCATCCCACCATCTCCTCGCCATACAAAAGGGTCATCCGGGCCATATATAGGGACTTAGCGAAACGAAAGAGGTATGCCTCCACTCTTATCTATTCACAATTTTTGTGTTTCCCCTTGAGAAATAGTGTATGCACTAGAGAATCTCGGCCTGAAGGTGAAGTGGCCACAAAAGATGAAGTCCGACCCAAGCACTAGAAAGTCAAACGCCCTCTGTGAGTTTCATCAGGAGCGGGGTCACAAGACCGAAGACTGCATAGCCCTACGGCAAGAAGTGGTGAACATGCTTCACCAAGGACACCTAAGGGAAGTGATGAGCGGCCGAGGAAGAGCCAACTTCGGCCGCGGACGAGAACAACACCAGGGCCCTCCACAGCTACCCTCCCCCGTCCCTATCATCCAAACGATCATCAGCGGAGGCGACGAAGCAGCAATCAATCACGTAAAGTTTACCACCACACATGAGCTGAAGCGGTCGTTCACCCAAGAACGGTTTGATGACCTTGAAGATAGTATCATCTTCGATAAGTCAAATACTCACAGTTTGACCTTTCCTCACTTTGATGCTTTTGTCATTACTTTACGTATTTCAGATACTTAAAAAGAATAATGGTAGACGACGGGAGCGGCACATGTATTATTCACCCTCGAGTTCTCACACAAATGTGACTCGAGGACAAGATAGTACCACACTGCATAACGCTAACAAGTTTTAACAATGCAGTTGAGCAAACCTCAGGAGAGATAACGCTACCCGTGCTGGTCGGAGGCGTCACCCTAGAAACAACGTTTCATATCATGAACTAGGACACAACTTACAACGCCATCATAGGGCGACCCTGGATACACGCCATGAGGGTCATCCCATCCAGCTTATATCAAGTAATGAAGTTCCCTACTCCGTGGGGGATATTCAGCATCTGAGGCGAACATCGCACAGCCCAAGAATGCTACCGCATCGCCCAAGATTGTACACACACTCAACAGTTAAAGGGAACAGGCTTGGAAGCATAGCAATTACCAAAGTCGGGGTCCAAACCCGACGAAAAAAAAGATGTCATCAAGGATCCCGACATCGTGGAAGGCACGGGGTCAACGATAGAAGACCTCGACCCCGTCCAACTAGACAACAGCGACCACAGTAAAAAGGCTTACATCGGCCATAAACTCTCAGAACCAAGTAAATTTCATAAATTTTTAATTAACAACGCCGATTTGTTTGCTTTCTCCCATGTAGATATGCCAGGTATCCCGAAAGACATTGCCACGCACAAGCTGAATGTCGATCCACTCTACTCACCAGTACGACAAATCAGAAGAAAGTTTAATGCTGCTATAAACGAGGCCGTCCACGAAGAGGTAGAGAAATTGCTCGCCGACGGTTCCATTTGGGAGTCAAAATACCCCCAATAGGTCACCAATGTGGTCATGGTGAAAAAGAAAAACGGGAAACGGCGTATGTACGTGGACTTCATGGACTTAAACAAAGCCTGTCCTAAAGACTCCTTCCCGTTGCCTCGAATGGATCAGCTCATCGACGCAACAGCAAGGCACGAGTTATTAAGCTTCTTAGACGCCTACTCAAGCTACAAGCAAATCGTCATGAAGGAAGAGGACCAGGAAAAGACTACCTTCATCACCCACCAAGGAACGTATTGCTGTAGAGTCATGCCATTCGGGTTGAAGAACGCAAGGGCGACTTATCAAAGGCTGGTCACCAAGATTTTCAAGGACTAACTCGGCAAAATAATGGAAGTTTACATAGACGATATGTTGGTCAAATCAAAAAGGAAGGAAGACCACATCGACCATCTGAAGGAAGCCTTTGGTATACAAAGGCGATACGACATGAAGCTGAACCCCGAAAAGTGTGCCTTCGGTCGAACCTCGGGCAAGTTCCTCGGCTTTCTGGTGTTACAATGAGACATCGAGGTTAATCTCGACTAGATCAAAGCCATCGAGGGAATACCCGAAGTATTGAACAGCAAGAAACATGTACAAAAACTGACCGACCGTATAGCTTCCCTGTCGAGGTCCATCTCACGATCCTATGACAGATGCCACATATTCTACAATGTGCTGAGAAAGGACAACAGACTCCAGTAGAATTCAGAATGTATAGAGGCCTTAAGAGAACTAAAGGCATACCTATCTTCGCCCCCGATCCTCGCCAAAGCAGAATCCGGAGAACGCCTCCTGATATACTTGGCCATATCAGAGGTCGCAGTAAGTGCAGTGCTGGTCCGTGAAAATAAAGGACTAAAGCTAGCTCTCAAATACGGAGCATGACGAGTCGTTCTCCGATGTGACTCACAACTCGTTGTTAACCAAGTCACAGGGACTTTCCAAATCAAAGAGCAAAGGCTACAAAAATACCAGGTAGAGATTCATAAACTACTGCAGGAATTCGACGAATGTCACTTCGACCAGATACCTCGAGCACAAAACATCAAGGCAGACTGTCAAGGAAGTGCCCATACTGGCAATCGAGCCCTCATCAGATGCCTCATACGAGCAGGCTATTATTGGCCCACCATGAAGAAGGAAGCCGCGACTTCATCAAGAAGTGCGAGCAGTGCCAGAAATGCGCTCATATGATACACCAAGCGGGCGAGCACCTCCACTCAGTCATATCACCATGGCCATTCATCAAATGGGGAATAGACATCGTGGGACCACTCTCAACGGGACTGGGTAATATACATTTCCTTTTAGTTTTAACTGACTACTTTTCCAAATGGGTAGAAGCAGGTGCATTCGCCCAAATACGCGAACAGGAAGTTATCACATTCATATGGAGGAACATCATATACTGCTTCGGTATCCCTAAAGAAATCAGCTGCGACAACGGACCCCAATTCACCGGGAAAAAGACCGTCAAATTCTTCAAGAAATGGCACATCAAATGAATACTCTCCACGGCTTATCACCCTGCAGGCAACGGCCAAGTCGAGTCCTCCAGCAAAACAATACTAAACATCTTAAAGAAAAAGCTTGAGGACGCCAAGGGACTGTGGTCGGAATTGCTACCAGAAGTTCTATAGGCATACCGTACCACGCCAAAAACAAGCACAGGAGAAATGCCATATTTACTAGTCTATGGGACTGATGCAATGATACCAGTCAATGTCGGGGAACCAAGTTTGAGATACTCCAATGAGAGCGGACCAAGCAATGATGAGAACATGAAACAAGACCTTGACAAAGCGGAGGAGCGAAGAGACATGGCTTACATAAGAATGATAGCCCAAAAACAATAGGCAGAACGGTATTACAACAAAAAGGCCAAAGTACGACCACTCAAAGTCGGGGACTATGTACTCAAGGCCAAAACACAAGCGAGCAAATACCCAAGAGAAGGTAAACTAGGAACCAATTGGGACGGGCCATACAAAATCATGGCAGCAGCAAACAAAGGATCATTCCAACTAGAAACAATGGAGGGAAAGCTACTACCAAACAATTGGAACGTCACCCACCTCAAATACTTCAACTTCTGATAACGGACACCCTCCAAGTCGTACTCTTTTTCCCTCACCCGGGTTTTATCCTAATTAGGTTTTATCGGGGAGGTTTTTAATGAGGCGACGAAGAGAACGTCCCAAAGTTCAAGTATAATTCATCCTGCCCGCCTATCAACTACTTCTCCAGGCTTAGCGATGAAGGGACTAGGTAAACTGGAACTTCTCAAATATATGTATGGAACAAACAGAAACATGTAATATTCTCCAATGAATGAAATACACAAAGCAGTATGCAGCATCTTTGCACAACTTCACCAAATCATTTTACATTCTACATTCGACTTCGCTCGAATCACTTTATATTTGACCTCGCTCGAATTACTTTACACTCGACCTGGCTCGAATTACCTTATATTAGACTCGCTCGAATTACTCGACATTCGACCTCGCTCGAATTACTTTACATTTGACTCACTCGAATTACTCGACATTCGATCTTGCTCGAATTACTCTACATTCGACTCGCTCGAATTACTTGACATTCAACCTTGCTCGAATTACTCGACATTCGACCTCGCTCGAATTACTCTACATATGACTCGCTCGAATTACTTGACATTCGACCTCACTTGGATTATTTTATTTTCGACCTCATCAAACCTCGACCTCGTTCGAGCTAATTAATACTCGGCCTCAAGTCAGTTTATGTTCGATTGTTCCAAAATCAACATTACATGCAAACGGACAAAAAATTAGGGACTTTCCCGCATAGCAAACAAAAAAAAAGAAGAAGAGAACGGGAATTCGGAAGTTCATAGCAAAAAGGCAATTGTTCCATTTCAATTGTCAGA